ATCATGGTAGTAATAACAGTTTTATTGAAATTATTCTACCATAATACTTGTTTATAAGAAAGATAGCATTTGCTCAAATTCTCAGTCATACCATACATTTTACCACTTGGAACAATGAACAATTCTATTCCTTATCATTCATATACATTCTCTATTCTTTATAAAACCACATTTCAATATTTCACCAATATGTGAGCCACGTTAGTAAACCTATATATGATTACAATTCATTCAGACAAGGTATTTAAAAATTCTCATATCATAGATAGGGAAATCCTATATGGATACATTGTACAATGTTTTACTACCTAATCCATGCTGTTGTGTATCTTTAAATGACATCTGGTTACAGTCATAAACAAAATCCCAACAGGAAAATCTCAACAAAGATGCCTCACCCTCATGGACGATGTCACAAAGTCTTAGCAGGAGACAGTCTCTCTCAGACTGATTAGAACCTCCACCATCAATTACAAATAACAGACTATATCACCACGATTACCCATGTATATTCCTTGTAATAAAAGTATGAAGTTTTTTTTATATTCTTTATAACCCTGTAACATATCCATTATGTCATGTGTAATAATATTGTGCCATAATGTAAGAACAGTTTTTGAGAAGAATTTTCGAGCTAGATAATTTCAAACTTAAACAAATTATAGGCAATGTTACCTTGATTGTTTTTTTATGTCTTTGAATTTTTTTATCTATAAGTTATTTATTTACATTTAACACTCATGTTTATCTACTATTCTATCAAGCAATGAAGTTTAGCATTCACCTTGACCTTTGAACTCGTGGCCTTGCCAAAGTAGCCTGCAAAATTTTGTAAAACCTCCTCAAGGCCCGACTAGAATAATATATACATATATATATCACCAGAAATAACATCATCGTAGAACGATCTCGGATATCTTTCAGTCTGATAGAGATACAATACCTTAAACATCCTAACAACACCTTCTATAACACTGATATATAGTCTAAGGGACTAATATTTGACCCCATTTCTATACTAAAATTCATCTACTGATGTGGCTACTGATCAGCTACCCCACTTAAAACATCCAAATTTATCTCTATATACCTTGTATACAATGTCTGCCGTTTGCTTCAGACCATTCATTGTAAGGAAAAAGGTACTCAAGGTTGTGTTAGACAGGCGTGTAACGTCCTATCTTGTGTGTGAATGACAGATCAGACTTGGGCTTCACCATTTACAATTCAATAGTCTACAAATTTACATACTCTAGTTTTAATGTTATTTCTGGAATGTAGTATGTTACAAAAACACATTGCATATAAAAATACATCTTTGGAAAACTTATTGATCATCTTTAAAAAGTTTGATACAAAATATAAGTTTTTATTTTAAGATTCCAAATGTAAACGAAACAATATTATCGATACGTCTGACGAAAAATCATATCAAGCCATATCTCGGAAAATTTTATAACAAGCATAAGCACCATGTTTGTGTATCTTAAAAATACAAACATATAGTCCTTGCAAGGAATCCACATCTGACAGATACACCTTCCATATTTCTATCACAAATTAAAGTTTCTTTGGGCCACAGAACTTTCCAGCTATCTGTTGTTTTGAGAAAACATTTGTCATAAAGAAGACTCAAATTTAATTGAGATGGTGAGCTATGCTTTTCATCTTGTAGTGTAATTTTGCTCTGTGTATAAATATTCACCAATAAATCATGGCCAATGTGAAATACCACCTGCATGCAAAAAAGCCTTTAGTGGATACAAATTAAAAACAACAGTATTTTTGTCTGGAATTAAAAACAGACCTGAACAAGGTTTCCTATCTGTCAAACATTCAACTATCCACGAGCGACATCACAGTTATTGCATCATTATGCAAGCTTTCATAAATAATGATTCAATATATACAAAAATAAATTCTTTCACATCACAACTGTAACAAATTGCTGCGGAGAGATCAGCTCCCTGTCTGACAACAAATACATACTTATTCTATTGAGAAAAATCAAGGTCAATAGAGTGGATCTAGATTACAGTACTGTAGATATAAAGCAGGGTCATGACTTACTCTGTACTACAAGTACAGCAGGGTCATCACTTACCCTGTACTACAAGTACTGTAGTGTCCTCACTTACTCTGTACTACAAGTACTGTAGGGTCATCACTTACTCTGTACTACAAGTACTGTAGGGTCATCACTTACTCTGTACTACAAGTACTGTAGGGTCATCACTTACTCTGTACTACAAGTACTGTAGGGTCATCACTTACTCTGTACTACAAGTACTGTAGGGTGATCACTTACTCTGTACTACAAGTACTGTAGGGTCATCACTTACTCTGTACTACAAGTACTGTAGGGTCATCACTTACTCTGTACATCACTTACTCTGTACTACAAGTACTGTAGGGTCATCACTTACTCTGTACTACAAGTACTGTAGGGTGACTCTGTCACTACTGTAGGGTGATCACTTACTCTGTACTACAAGTACTGTAGGGTCATCACTTACTCTGTACTACAAGTACTGTAGGGTGATCACTTACTCTGTACTACAAGTACTGTAGGGTCATCACTTACTCTGTACTACAAGTACTGTAGGGTCATCACTTACTCTGTACTACAAGTACTGTAGGGTGATCACTTACTCTGTACTACAAGTACTGTAGGGTGATCACTTACTCTGTACTACAAGTACTGTAGGGTCATCACTTACTCTGTACTACAAGTACTGTAGGGTCATCACTTACTCTGTACTACAAGTACTGTAGGGTCATCACTTACTCTGTATCACTGTACTCTTACTCTGTACTACAAGTACTGTAGGGTCATCACTTACTCTGTACTACAAGTACTGTAGGGTCATCACTTACTCTGTACTACAAGTACTGTAGGGTGATCACTTACTCTGTACTACAAGTACTGTAGGGTGATCACTTACTCTGTACTACAAGTACTGTAGGGTCATCACTTACTCTGTACTACAAGTACTGTAGGGTGATCACTTACTCTGTACTACAAGTACTGTAGGGTGATCACTTACCCTGTACTACAAGTACTGTAGGGTCATCACTTACTCTGTACTACAAGTACTGTAGGGTGATCACTTACTCTGTACTACAAGTACTGTAGGGTGATCACTTACTCTGTACTACAAGTACTGTAGGGTGATCACTTACTCTGTACTACAAGTACTGTAGGGTCATCACTTACTCTGTACTACAAGTACTGTAGGGTGATCACTTACTCTGTACTACAAGTACTGTAGGGTCATCACTTACTCTGTACTACAAGTACTGTAGGGTGATCACTTACTCTGTACTACAACTTACTCTGTACTACAAGTACTGTAGGGTGATCACTTACTCTGTACTACAAGTACTGTAGGGTGATCACTTACTCTGTACTACAAGTACTGTAGGGTGATCACTTACTCTGTACTACAAGTACTGTAGGGTGATCACTTACTCTGTACTACAAGTACTGTAGGGTCATCACTTACTCTGTACTACAAGTACTGTAGGGTGATCACTTACTCTGTACTACAAGTACTGTAGGGTGATCACTTACTCTGTACTACAAGTACTGTAGGGTGATCACTTACTCTGTACTACAAGTACTGTACTTACTCTGTACTACAAGTACTGTAGGGTGATCACTTACTCTGTACTACAAGTACTGTAGGGTGATCACTTACTCTGTACTACAAGTACTGTAGGGTCATCACTTACTCTGTACTACAAGTACTGTAGGGTGATCACTTACTCTGTACTACAAGTACAGCAGGGTCATGACTTACGCATAATCTTAGGATGGGAATGTAGTGAATGGTTGGAGATGTGGTCATCACAAAACAGACAGCTATAGACAATAATAGAGAGACATACCCTCTAGATGCACAGTATAAATTACAGGTAGATGTTTACAAAGTGGGTGTGTCCCACTAAGACCTTTAGACCGCTGACTGGCTAATTACAGGCATGCAATCTTCTGAAGGGGGAATGACCTACATAGGACCTACACATATATGAATGTAAGACAGATGTGACCTACAAATGAGTGAGTGACTTATGTAAAAAGAAAATGAAAGGGTGTGAACTAAATTAAAGACACACATCCCATCAGGATCAAAGGTCAAAAAAAAGGCAGTCTGATGTGAGGGTAAGCACATATATATAAGAAGAAGGCAAGGCTATATACATTTGGCTTCCAGAATGAAGTTTCACAACAAGTTGGGTCACTGTTCACATTGATCATTTGGCTTCAGAACACAAGTCCTGTAATATTGCACATAGTGATGGTATGTCATTTCACACCCGTCCTGACACAAACATACTAAGACTGACCTTCATCAAACAAACATAGACTTTTTAAAAAGTTATTTTCTGTACTTTCTTATGCTCCACACATTTCAATATCACTGAACTGAACACACAGATGAAACATTTGTCCTCCAAACAGAATCAATGGTGTTTCTATGTTGAAAAAAGTTTCTTCTGATGAAAGTTCACAAGGTCAAAGTCATGGGCAAGGCCACATGAGGATTCCCACCTTCTATACTTTAGTACAATCCTGAAACACATAAACAAGATTTTTATACAAGAACTGGCTTATAAACAAAGATGTTGAAAGATACACTTAAACATTAAACACAATGCCCTCCTGTGCACATATGCACATGAAGAGAATGAAAAGGACACCAGCAATGTCTTAAAAACATATTATAAAACAAGACAAGTTACTTAACTGTGATATATGTACCTACATCGCACACACTAGTCTAGTCTTCGCTGTATAACACGATAATTTGGTGAATTACAGCCATCCATCGCCACATGTGCACATTGATATGTATACATAGATAAATAGTTTTGCTGAATAGTTCAGTAACATTGGGCAACTGTGTTTGAAGTCACCAACCGACATACCTCCCCAAATTAAGTCTGACTCTGGAGAGACAACACTTACCATTGGCTTCATTCAGCCATCTGTAATCTCATGTTGTCAGGGGCCCAGGATTCTGTAGACAGAAGAGTGCAGTCTTTAGGACATATCTTATCATTATCTTTATTGGTGTTTAGTCGTACTTCATGACTACATCTATTTCTTATCATAAATAGTGGAATGATTATTTTTTGGTTTTTATCACGAGTTTTGTGGAACTGATATAACATGATAAACCATTTTCAACAACTTGATTTGCCAATGTGTGTAATGATCACCAGCAATTCTTTAGTATTTATAATGATGATGGATACTGGCTGAATACATTCCAATAACTAACACTAACTTACAGGTGAAATTTTTAACTTAAATGATTTACAGTAAACAAATAATTTGTGGCTGGTCTTGGAGACTAATTTATCCAGAAAGAACATTGCCTGAACCTTGACCTTTGTGACATATCTACGTAATATGGACAATACCTGAACTTTGACCTTTGTGACATATCTATGTAATATGGACAATACCTGTGCCTTCACCATAGCTGCGGCCCACTTCATCTGTTCTCCCTCTGATGCAAAACTCAGTGTGTAACCAAAGTATGGCATCTCTTTCGAACTATGAGTGATAAAAAGACATGATATTGATAAGTTGAAATATTGGTTGATAACCTAAATATTGTTTTTGTTTAAATGCAATCCAAAGTGCAGAATTAAGATTTCGATATTTATTTCAGATTTCAAAAGTTACAATTAATCAACGCATAGACAAACACCAGGGATTGTTTGTACAAACACTGGAAACACAAGGTAGTATGACACAGAAAACTTACCCCACTTTGTCTCCTTTCTTCATGAAGGTGATTGGGAATCTAATAACATAACAAAAATAATAAATGCAATGTCACTCAACTATCAGATTAAAAATGGGGTTCACATCTATACTTTAAGCTCATCTAAATAATCTGTCTTATATTGTTTCAGTAAACAAACGCCTCTTTTAGCATACATGCTGACTACAATGTAATTTAGGACTGCCACATTGAAAAAATTTACTCAAGGTAAATCAATGACCATAGTTTTTAGGAACAAACTGAACTCAGTGCAGAGGTCAAAGAGTGCAAAGTCTAAAATATTTTAGAATTGGGTGGGAGGTGGGGCAGTTACATACAAGTCTGTATGCACATGTGGGTACAGCATCAATGCTCAGTACATAAGACAAAACGAATCAAGAGGTGGTGTTCAATACATAACACAGTACTTTAGGATGAGTTAAACGTCAGCGATCAGTATCTCAGTATGAGCTAAGTGTCTGTGTTCAGTACTTAGGATGTGTTTAGTGTCAGAGCTCATTGCTTTAGGGTGAGCTAAGTGTCAGTGTTCAGTACTTAGGATGTGTTTAGTGTCAGAGCTCATTGCTTTAGGGTGAGCTAAGTGTCAGTGTTCAGAAATTAGGATGTGTTTAGTGTCAGAGCTCATTGCTTTAGGGTGAGCTAAGTGTCTGTGTTCAGTACTTAGGATGTGTTTAGTGTCAGAGCTCATTGCTTTAGGGTGAGCTAAGTGTCTGTGTTCAGTACTTAGGATGTGTTTAGTGTCAGAGCTCATTGCTTTAGGGTGAGCTAAGTGTCTGTGTTCAGTACTTAGGATGAGCTAAGTGACAGTTCCTCAGGATGAGATTAGTGTCAGAGCTCATTACTTTAGGGTGAGCTAAGTGTCTGTACACATTACTCTAGGATGAGATGAGTTAAGTTTCTGCTATCTGTACTTCAGGACAAAGTGTGTTCTAATAACAGTTCAATAGAAAGAGTGGACTTAATTGTCAGTACACAGTATTTTAGGATGTGGTGAGTGCTCAGTTCAGTCCAGAATAATAAATTGCCCTATTAGTTATTTTGCTGTGAGGGTATTTAAGATTTTATCCTGAGAGGAATAGACTTACTTAGCTGCCTTGCGTTCTGGATCAGCTCCAATGTAGATACTGAGATCTTCTACATTCCAAGAATTCACAGACTTCTGAGTTAACTGAAATGGCTGTATAAAAAAGTGACATTAGTTTATAGATATTTGCATTTTCATGGAGCTTCTACAAACAAAACTCTTCTACACACTCCTGAGTAGGTAGCTCCTGCACACTCCTGAGTAGGTAGCTCCTGCACACTACCATGCAGGCAGTCCCTCTCACTTTAATGAGTAGGCAGCTCCTGCACACTCCTGAGTAGGTAGCTCCTGCACACTCCTGAGTAGGTAGCTCCTGCACACTACCATGCAGGCAGTCCCTCTCACTTTAATGAGTAGGTAGCTCCTGCACACTACCATGCAGGCAGTCCCTCTCACTTTAATGAGTAGGTAGCTCCTGCACACTACCATGCAGGCAGTCCCTCTCACTTTAATGAGTAGGCAGCTCCTGCACTCTATTCTTAGTAGACAGTTTCTGTACACTCTGATATACAGACAGCTCCTACACACTTAAACCAGCAGGCAGCCTCTGAATGCTCCCACAATTAGCTCCTGCACACTATACTCAGTAGGCAACTCTTCTACCATCTACCATGAGCATGCAGTTCCTGCAAATTCTACTGAGCAAGCAGCTTCTGCATTCTCTACCCTGAGTAAGCAGCTCTTGCACATTCTACCATGCGGGAAGCTCCTTTACACTCTACGGATCAGACAGCTCCTTCACTCTACCATGAGCAGGCTATTCTTTCACACTCTACCAAACAGACAGCTTCTGCAAACTCTACGGAGAATGGGCAGCTCCTGCACAATCTACCATGAGCAGGCTGTTCTTTCATACTCTACCTGACAGCTTCTGCACACTCTACTGAGAGTAGGCAGCTCCTGCACACACTAACAGGAACAGGCACCTCCATTGAACAGGAGGTAAAACACACTCTACCTTGTAGCAAGGATATTGTACAAACTACAGGAAATGTAATGAGATGATGAAACATACATTTCATGCTACACAAAATCTATAGAAGTTTACAATACCATAAACACATATTAACTTTCTTTAATGTTGCATCTTAAAGGCACAAGTTTTTACTTATGACACATAAGACGTCGCATCTTAAAGGCACAAGTTTTTACTTATGACACATAAAGACGTCGCATCTTAAAGGCACAAGTTTTTACTTATGACACATAAAGACGTCGCATCTTAAAGGCACAAGTTTTTACTTATGACACATAAAGACGTCGCATCTTAAAGGCACAAGTTTTTACTTATGACACATAAAGACGTCGCATCTTAGAGGCACAAGTTTTTACTTATGACACATAAAGACGTCGCATCTTAAAGGCACAAGTTTTTACTTATGACACATAAAGACGTCGCATCTTAAAGGCACAAGTTTTTACTTATGACACATAAAGACGTTGCATCTTAAAGGCACAAGTTTTTGCTTATGATACATTAAGACAGCGATCTATGATTTCATTACTGTACTTGGTATATCATTACAACCAGATTTCATGTGGGACAAAAATGTCTCTTTGAAGACTCCTTCTTTCAGTTTAGTTCTTTGGGCTTGTTTTGTGTTTACTTTTGTGTTGTTTTACAGCCCATAGGCTATAAAGAGTCATTTAAAAGCCAATAAAGCAAGCAAAAGATATCATTGGGCTAAGCAACAATATAGAATGTTAATATGAGAAAATACCCACCCTTGAAGTCTTACTGTATGTCAGCTTGCTGCTGACAAACTGGAAACAAAACTTGCCAAAACTTTTGTCTTTCTTGCTGAACTTTAGGTCAGAATTTGGTGCTTTCCCAGGCTCAAACTAAAGACAAAATCATTTTTATTACAAAATCATCTTGATGATATGAAACAATTTAAGTACATAATGTTATTTCATCAATATTTTACATATATCTCAAAAATCTATTGGGTTGGTCACCGGCATAAGCATATAAATAAGCATCCTAATGCTTATATACATTCATGTGTAAAGGCTGTTAAAAATGAAATGAACCATCCCCTACCAAATTATTGGTTTTTAATGGTTTTAAAAGAAAATGTGAAATATCACCAGGGTTACTTAAGCTTGAACAGGTGAGGACACTTCAGTGTTTTAGCTACGTCTGGACGTGAGTTATTACTGAACTAGGGTGATGCATAAATATTTTTTAGATACATTTGAATTAGGAATTGTCATGTGGTAATTCAATTCTTGACCTAAATGTTTAATAAAGTCCAAATAGGATTTCAATAATTAAGATCACAGCATCACAGTATAGCCTTTTAAAAAATTACTATACTTTAGCTCTTCTTCAGTCTGTAATAAAGGCTTCTAATGATGATTTTTGTACAATATTTTGTTTGTTAAAACTGAATTCTGACAATAATTGTTCCACCATTTCCAACTACTTTAGAAATTAGTCCAGTTAAAATTGAACTCCTATGCCTCCCAGTCATAAAACTATTTCTTTGGGGTGATACATTCAACAAGTTTGAAAGAAAAGTAGGAATATTGTAAGGCCACTTAGTATACCGATCATCTCAATGATCTGTTGGTGTCCCCCCCAGTCCCCACCTCCCCCCACCTCCCCCCCCCACCCCCCTCACTACTCCCCACAGTGTTATAACCAATCTAAAACTTACACTATTCTCAAGCTTGTACGCCAGCTCTGCGGGTTTGAGGCATAGACATGCGGTTCTGCTGTATTCACTCTGCCAGTCTGCCCAAGACATAACCACCTTATAGAGATCTTCTTCAGGACACAGCAAGCGTTCTGAGGGTAATAAAATCAGATTATAGGTATTCTATCAGTTCAATGAGGACATGTTCTGAGATGAAAATATTGATGGTGTGGGTTTTATCAGGACCAGAGACAGTCATTGTTCTGAAGAGAATAAAGATACTTTTGTTATGGAGCTTGAAACACAACAAAGCTAATTTAACCTCCCACTGAACTATTACAAACATTCTCATGGAGGGCATAAGTTAAAGAGAAATGACTTACCTATAGAACCATTACACACCATCTCATGGAAGGCACAGATTTTACAGGATGACTTACCTACAGTACCATTACACACCACCTCATGGAAGGCACAGACTTTACAGGATGACTTACCTACAGAACCATTACACACCACCTCATGGAAGGCACAGACTTTACAGGATGACTTACCTACAGAACCATTACACACCACCTCATGGAAGGCACAGACTTTACAGGATGACTTACCTACAGAACCATTACACACCACCTCATGGAAGGCACAGATTTTACAGGATGACTTACCTACAGAACCATTACACACCACCTCATGGAAGGCACAGATTTTACAGGATGACTTACCTATAGAACCATTACACACCACCTCATGGAAGGCACAGATTTTACAGGATGACTTACCTACAGAACCATTACACACCACCTCATGGAAGGCACAGACTTTACAGGATGACTTACCTACAGAACCATTACACACCACCTCATGGAAGGCACAGATGTTACAGGATGACTTACCTACAGAACCATTACACACCACCTCATGGAAGGCACAGATTTTACAGGATGACTTACCTACAGAACCATTACACACCATCTCATGGAAGGCACAGATTATACAGGATGACTTACCTACAGAACCATTACACACCACCTCATGGAAGGCACAGACTTTACAGGATGACTTACCTACAGAACCATTACACACCATCTCATGGAAGGCACAGACTTTACAGGATGACTTACCTACAGAACCATTACACACCACCTCATGGAAGGCACAGACTTTACAGGATGACTTACCTACAGAACCATTACACACCACCTCATGGAAGGCACAGATTTTACAGGATGACTTACCTACAGAACCATTACACACCACCTCATGGAAGGCACAGATTTTACAGGATGACTTACCTACAGAACCATTACACACCACCTCATGAAGGGCGTAGCTTATAGAGGACGTCTGTACTTTAAACTTTTCTAATAGAATCCCAATAACATCTGCTGTTTTTGTGTCATGTTTTAACTGTAACAGAAACATACATTTTGACATTGAACTGTAGTTTTCCATTTTTTTTAATAGTCTTGAAAATTTGAAAATACAAGTAAATGACCAAATAAAGGCCTCAATTAAGTGATCCATCTTTCGTTTGGGGTGGTATGATGACAGAGAAAGAACAATAGAATCTGACAAACAGGATGAGTTCTGTGTACTGAACATCACTATTAGACATATTCTACAATCAATACTGGTAGCAAGACACTGACAACACTGGCAGGACTTATTCTGCGATCATAAAACGGGTAAATTTTTTCTTTACTGCTTATACTTACATGAACACTTTCACTCTGTCCATTGTGGATAAGAAAGTGGACAGAAACCATCAGAGGATCACCATAGGAACTTTGCTGTTAAATCAAAGAATGATCAAGATGAGAAAAACTCTAACATAAAACCATTCACTTGATCATAAAAACACCTTAGTAATAATAAGTACTCATGTATCACACTTAATGGTAAATTTATAGTCTCAAGCGCAGAAAATCTTGTGCTGACTGTAAGAAGTATATACTTGTCTTAAGTTTTAAGAAAATTGTCTCACTTCAGAAGAACAATGAACATATATTTGTCTATATAAACTCCAATATAGATAATGCGATAGAAGATGACACAAATTAGGATATTATCACTGATTGGGTTGGCTATGATACAATATATACCACTGATCACTGAAAAATGTAAAGATAACAAAGAATCTTTTACTTCTTGATTTAAGAAGTATTTCAGAAGACTTTAAGGAATACAATAACCTTCTGAACCACTCTCCCCCATTCCTCTATCCCTATCCATTCTTTCACCCCAAGACCCTTTGACTCCTTTTTTCTCCCTTATACTTTTGTAACATACCATTACGTGCCCATATTTATATTTTGTTCGCAGACACTACTTGCACCAGATGTAGATACCTGAGCGGGGAATACACGGGAGAAACATGATCTCATACGGTAACCAAAGGAGTATATGTGTAGTGTTACCTACAGCAAATACCTATATGCTGGACATTTCCACGCACACTACATCTTGCAGTGAGTATCGTACATATAAACCCATTTGTAAGTATCATCTGTATACGATTTGAAGCTGCTGTGTAGATAAACAACCACATATTGTTATAGTTATTTATAGATATTGGGTACTAGGAGTCACGTGTATAAACAGGTGCCATTATTAGCTATCATTCAATATACAGTGTTTTACAGGTGCAATGCTGCCCGCCTATACTGACAATCTTATAGTGCATCATTATAATGGAAACCAGCCCATTAATGAACTGTTATCAAGTAGCATGATGCTTATAACGTCTGTGTTGTATTTGTAGGATTATGAGCGAATGCGAGTGTAAATGGTGAAACTGTTTGTAACTATTGTTCATGTCGTACATGAGAAATAAATGTTGTACATAATGTAAACATGGTGTTTTGCCTTGCTGTCATATGGACAACAATCTCATCCTGTTACACTGACTGACCATCACTCCTTCCACCTCCCCTTTCCTACCCTCCTTTTACATACACACCATCACACCTTCTGACACCCAGTCCCTTCAGCTGCTGACAATGACCCATGTATAGTGAGAAATGTACTCAGCAAGCTACTGTAATCCATTCATTATTTGGTATACCTGTCCTGCAATAAGCCCACCTATGTAAAATCATTAAATTTTGTGAGGGATTTATTTTCCTTGAATTCTAAGATACTCTAAATCCTTAATTATTTGTATGTCCCTGACGTGATAAACAGATAAATACTGACATGGATTATAGCACTTATATATCATGTGGTCAACGAAATTTTTTGGAAAATTTGTGTACCACAAAAAAGTGATTATTTCACAGTAATAATTCTGAAATCAAATAGGATAGGCTTATTACAAGACAATGCAATAACATTGGTATATCATTTAACTAGATATGTTTCAATATAGGATGGGCTTATTGCCATCATAAGGTCTGACAGAACATTATTTTTACATATGCCTGCTTTTTTAAAAGATCATAATCCTTGTGAATGCTTTCAGTTTTGTTTTTTTTAAATCATGAAAATAGATACCCACAAAAAATAAAAGTTTTACAGTATGCTGAGTCCTTGATGCAGCATGCATTAATCGATAGCAGAGTTATAAAATATCCCATTTAGAATGGCATCATACACCTCAAAGCCTTGCTGGAGTAATCAAGAAATAAACATCTGCCATAGTCACAACATCCCAAAAACAAGATAACAACAAAATACTGGGCAATTGAAACTGTTAATTTAATCAAATCTGTTGTCCCAATGTTAAAATGATGCTGAGACAAGACCAATAAAATCAACTGTAAATAATTCTATTTCGTAAAATATTTATTTTCCAATCAATTCACGAGGATATTGGTCAAAACTTAAAGAAATGTACAGCTAGAGCTGTAATCAAATTATTGATCATCAATGAATACTGCATCTCGTTTTATCACAATGAAGGATTGTCAACACAAGTTGATAGTACAGGTCACCTTACTAGCCTTGGCTAGTGGGAATTTTCCTTCAGTGAAGAGGTAGAGTGTGCGGCTACAGACAGAAATGTCCATAGTTCAAACCCTGGTGGTGGCAGGGTGTTTTTTTTATCTCTCCAACCTATTACAGATCTTGTGTCATTGATCACTCCAAGGCTGGAAGCTATAGGAAGTTGAGATGCTTACTTGGAGGTACTGGTATCAAACCTGGGTTGTTGTTATGTTTGGGGTTGAAGACATTGCAAAGGAAAGTGTAGAAGTTGAGAGTATATGTCATCTTGCTAGCCTTGACAAGTGGGAATTTCCCTTTTGTCAAGCAATAGAGTGTCTGACCAGAAAGCAAGAGGTCATTAGTTTGAGCCCGAGAGTGGGTAGTTCCATTCTAGTTGATTAAAAAAGTACAGTCTAAATTACACGATTATCAAGTCACAGCTTTGGATTCCTATCTTGTATCTAGCCTTGTCATGGTCGTTACAACAGATAATGTACACAAGGAAATTTTCACCCTTGATTCGGGAGGTCAAATCTAAGATGGGGTGAAAATTTGTTACTCTTATATAGTCAGTACTTTTTAAATATTCCTCAGAGGGTGAAATGAACATAATATGAATACATGTATAATAGTACAAAAGCAAACAATCTGGGGCAAAATTTCCTGGTATATAGTAAATCCCCTTCTCTCTGCTTACAGTTACAGGTACCTCATAACTTTATAATTTCATCTCGCACACTATCTTCTTCGTTTTACCAGCCAAAAACTCAGAAATTACAAGACTTGAAATTATGAGACCTTGCCTAACAAACAGTAAACAGGAACATGCTGGATTGTTTGTAGTCTGAAAAATTGAGAACAGATCTCAAATGATATGGTCGGAATTAGGATCTCAACATGAGAGAAAAAAGTTGATATTTCAAAGTTATATCATGTCATGCTTGTGACTAGCATCACAGGAAACATCACCAATAAAAGAGTATTTACCTGATTGAGAGTGTAGCGTTCAACCTGGTATTGTAATAGATGTTTCTAAGGCTGGTTTATATATCATCACACTTTACAGTAAATCTAACTACATCCCGGTATTGTAATAGATGTTTCTAAGGCCGGTTTATATATCATCACACTTTACAGTAAATTCTAACAACATCCTGATATATCATCACACTTTACAGTAAATCTAACTACATCCCGGTATTGTAATAGATGTTTCTAAGGCCGGTTTATATATCATCACACTTTACAGTAAATCTAACTACATCCCGGTATTGTAATAGATGTTTCTAAGGCCGGTTTATATATCATCACACTTTACAGTAAATTCTAACTACATCCCGGTATTGTAATAGATGTTTCTAAGGCCGGTTTATATATCATCACACTTTACAGTAAATTCTAACTACATCCCGGTATTGTAATAGATGTTTCTAAGGCCGGTTTATATATCATCACACTTTACAGTAAATCTAACTACATCCCGGTACTGTAATAGATGTTTCTAAGGCCGGTTTATATATCATCACACTCTACAGTAAATCTAACTACATCCTGATATATCATCACACTTTACAGTAAATCTAACTACATCCTGATATATCATCACACTTTACAGTAAATCTAACTACATCCTGATATATCATCACACTTTACAGTATATCTAACTACATGCATACAATTTTATAACACAGAAACAATCAATCACGGCGTCAAAAATCTTTCTATGATGTGTATCTATTGTACAAGACTTGAGTATATATCAGAGTCTATAACTTAAAGATATCTCAATATTCTCAACTTTTTTATGTATTTTTCGATATACATAAATATAAGATATAAAAAATCCATTCTCTATGATATAGGGATACAGTTGGTTACATCTGGATCTATATTATATATAAATAATAGTAAACATTCATATTGGACCTACATTAACACAGTCGTTAATAAAGATCAGTGGGATTCACTGGGTAATATTGTAAGTCAAGAAACTTGCCTTGTTCCCAAACACTCCACTCATCTCATCCCCATCATCACAACCACTGAATCTTACCAATTTCCAATACATTGCGGTATAGATATCGTGCTGACCCCTTCAATCCTAATAGACTTAGTTCCAGTCAATATAACTAATATTTCTAAGCCATCCTACAGCCTGAACTATTTCCTAATACTTACCCGTTTGCTAGCCCTTAATTCTAGCTCCTTAAAGCGCTTCTCCGCTTCTCTTATCTGGTCTTCCTTGTCCTTCTCCAGCTGAAACATCAGATAAAATGATCCACATCATGTTATCCACATCTTGTATGTTTTAAATCATTATTAAAACCAATTTTAATTAGTTATCAATTTACACAGAATTTGGACATTTTTAGTAAAGGTACATTTGTACGTAGATAACCCTGTCCCATTGTAAGTAAACATTCTGTATGGTACAAATGTATTTATTTTACCCATTTGAACTATAAATATGTACCTCAAAAAGCTGTTCATGGTGAGTGATGATGTCGTCTATGACGCGCATCTCATGGGGAATATTCTGACCTCCTTCTGCCACCTGTAATAGAAATATGACACATCACATTGAGTCAGTCGTAGTGAGAATGTATATCACATTTTGAATGCATCTTTAATTAAAATAGTTTTTCTCTCATTTGACATTGAATGTTGCATTTAAACTGATTTTGGTTCATTTCTGTAACTTCCTGATAAACATTAGCTCACAACAGTGAAATGATGGGGAAAATGGCCGGGTTTTTCCTTTCATTCTTTATATTTATATCCTTATTATGCCCATATACTCTTATTCCCAGGGAAAATGTGCTTATCATAGCCTAACACTAATTACAACAAAAGTTACAAGTAATTGTACATCTCACCTGTCTCATTTTGTCTGTGTGATAATTCTAAATCAAAATTCAAAACACTTTAAAATTTAAAATTTTATGTCCCTCATCTACCTACCAAATTTTCAAGTAAGTTTTAATTCATAATATGTATACAGCAAAGTTATATTCATGTTATCTAATTGGTGACTTCAGATGTCCAGACCACAATGTAACTATATAGCAAGTTTAATTGGAATATAGCAATGGTATTTAAGGAGAAACTGAGGTGATCAAGTGCAAAACTGAAAATTCAGAGTTGTTGAACCATAAAATCTGGAACATATTTTGTAAATAATATATGTAATTGAGGTGCATCAATGTGATAACGTTTTATATCAAGTTTGGTTAAAGTGGGACTTTTTCAGCGAAGGATCTATGGTATTTTTTGAATTGATGATATGGAATCTCAGAGTCTTCTGTATTAAAATTTAAAGATTCCTAACTGTATTGTTCAGTAGGGGAAGACTTACCATCTGCAGGACTATTTTTAATGAGGAAGATTTGTAGGGGCCACTTAGTATAATTAGGGATACTTACCAGTAGTACTGACTTACCACCAGGACATGTAATTAGGGATACTTACCAGTAGTACTGACTTACCACCAGGATGTATAATTAAGGATACTTACCGGTAGTATTGCAGTATTAGATGTGTCATTGACTGCCTTCATCAAGGTTGACCCAAATGATGCAGCTAAGTTTTTGACAGTCATCTTGTTTTCTTCACTGTAACGTGCCACTCTGAAAGATTTCATCACTGTTAGTGAGACTTCAGTAAGATAAATATCAGAATAATGAATAAAGAAGAAGAGAAGCCTTACATTTTCTAACGTTATCTTAAATCTTCTGTCACTCCAGTCTCCTCTCACGTTATGACCCTGTGAACTAGCATTAAGGTAAAAACCAGTAATATATAGCTGTTCATAAAATTTTATGATAAACAAAAAGTCACGACACTAGACATACTTAACTAAGTTTATAACATCAGGTTAGTGGTTCAATCCTACTGTTTCATAACAAACAGACATAATTTTATGGTTGTGTTGTCATGGTTTTGACTTTGAGTAAGACTTAATCCCAATGGCTTTCAACATCAATGTGGTGGACCTCCCAGATGGTGCTCAGTGAGGTACCACCTGCTTCTATATGGAGACTCCACCTAAATATGACACTAGGCCAATATATTCAGCAAAGCATTAAACATTTTGATGAAGGACATCAATACATAAACAGTTTTACTACATAACTTACTTGGCTAGGTGGATGACTAATCGTCTGAATGTACGACTGTGTACTATTGGTAGTTCTCGTATGTAGTAATGATACCAATCTAGCTTGGTGGGATTTGCTGAGATCTTACCTGCAACAAATGATAATGGTTATTTATCACATCACCGAGATCTTACCTACATCATACTACAATGGCTGGTAAATCACATCACCGAGATCTTACCTACATCATACGACAATAGCTAGTTAATCACATCACCGAGATCTAACCTACATCCTACGACAATAGCTAGTTAATCACATCACCTAGATCTAACCTACATCCTACGACAATAGCTTGTAAATCACATCACCGAGATCTAACCTACATCACACGATACTTGCTAGTAAATCACATCACCGAGATCTAACCTACATCACACGATACTTGCTAGTAAATCACATCACCGAGATAATACCTACATCCTACGACAATGACTAGTAAATCACATCACCTAGATCTAACCTACATCATACTACAATGGCTAGTAAATCACATCACCGAGATCTTACCTACATCCTACGACAATGGCTAGTAAATCACATCACCGAGATCTTACCTACATCCTACAACAATGACTAGTGAATCACATCACCGAGATCTTACCTACATCCTACATCCTACGACAATGACTAGTAAATCACATCACTGAGATCTTACCTACATCCTACATCCTACGACAATGACTAGTAAATCACATCACCGAGATATTACCTACATCCTACATCCTACGACAATGACTAGTAAATCACATCACCGAGATCTTACCTACATCCTACAACAATGGCTAGTAAATCACATCACCGAGATCTAACCTACATCCTACAACAATGGCTAGTAAATCACATCACCGAGATCTAACCTACATCCTACGACAATGGCTAGTAAATCACATCACCGAGATATTACCTACATCCTACGACAATGACTAGTAAATCACATCACCGAGATATTACCTACATCCTACGACAATGACTAGTAAATCACATCACCGAGATCTTACCTACATCCCACATCCTACGACAATGACTAGTAAATCACATCACCGAGATCTTACCTACATCCTACATCCTACAACAATGACTAGTTAATCACATCAGCGAGATCTTACCTACATCCTACATCCTAAGACAATGACTAGTAAATCACATCACCGAGATCTTACCTACATCCTACATCCTACGACAATGACTAGTAAATCACATCACCGAGATCTTACCTACATCCTACATCCTACAACAATGACTAGTAAATCACATCACCGAGATCTTACCTACATCCTACAACAATGACTAGTAAATCACATCACCGAGATCTAACCTACATCCTACATCCTACAACAATGACTAGTTAATCACATCACCGAGATCTTACCTACATCCTACAACCTACGACAATGACTAGTAAATCACATCACCGAGATCTTACCTACATCCTACAACAATGACTAGTAAATCACATCACCGAGATCTTACCTACATCCTACATCCTACAACAATGACTAGTAAATCACATCACCGAGATCTTACCTACATCCTACAACAATGACTAGTAAATCACATCACCGAGATCTTACCTACATCCTACATCCTACAACAATGACTAGTAAATCACATCACCGAGATCTTACCTACATCCTACAACAATGGCTAGTAAATCACATCACCGAGATCTTACCTACATCCTACATCCTACAACAATGACTAGTAAATCACATCACCGAGATCTTACCTACATCCTACATCCTACAACAATGACTAGTAAATCACATCACCGAGATCTTACCTACATCCTACATCCTACAACAATGACTAGTAAATCACATCACCGAGATCTTACCTACATCCTACAACAATGGCTAGTAAATCACATCACCGAGATCTTACCTACATCCTACAACAATGGCTAGTAAATCACATCACCGAGATCTTACCTACATCCTACAACAATGGCTAGTAAATCACATCACCGAGATCTAACCTACACATCCTACACCTACAACAATGACTAGTAAATCACATCACCGAGATCTTACCTACATCCTACATGCTAGTAAATCACATCACCGAGATCTTACCTACATCCTACGACAATGACTAGTAAATCACATCACCTAGATCTAACCTACATCCTACAACAATGACTAGTAAATCACATCACCGAGATCTTACCTACATCCTACATCCTACGACAATGACTAGTTAATCACATCACCGAGATCTTACCTACATCCTACAACAATGACTAGTAAATCACATCACCGAGATCTTACCTACATCCTACATCCTACTACAATGACTAGTAAATCACATCACCGAGATCTTACCTACATCCTACATCCTACGACAATGACTAGTAAATCACATCACCGAGATCTTACCTACATCCTACAACAATGACTAGTAAATCACATCACCGAGATCTTACCTACATCCTACATCCTACAACAATGACTAGTAAATCACATCACCGAGATACATCCTACCTGGCTAGTAAATCACATCCTACAACAACAATGACTAGTAAATCACATCACCGAGATCTTACCTACATCCTACAACAATGACTAGTAAATCACATCACCGAGATCTTACCTACATCCTACAACAATGGCTAGTAAATCACATCACCGAGATCTTACCTACATCCTACAACAATGACTAGTAAATCACATCACCGAGATCTTACCTACATCCTACATCCTACAACAATGACTAGTAAATCACATCACCGAGATCTTACCTACATCCTACAACAATGACTAGTAAATCACATCACCGAGATCTTACCTACATCCTACAACAATGACTAGTAAATCACATCACCGAGATCTTACCTACATCCTACATCCTACAACAATGACTAGTAAATCACATCACCGAGATCTTACCTACATCCTACAACAATGACTAGTAAATCACATCACCGAGATCTTACCTACATCCTACATCCTACAACAATGACTAGTAAATCACATCACCGAGATCTTACCTACATCCTACAACAATGACTAGTAAATCACATCACCGAGATCTTACCTACATCCTACATCCTACATCCTACGACAATGACTAGTAAATCACATCACCGAGATCTTACCTACATCCTACATCCTACAACAATGACTAGTAAATCACATCACCGAGATCTTACCTACATCCTACATCCTACAACAATGACTAGTAAATCACATCACCGAGATCTTACCTACATCCTACATCCTACAACAATGACTAGTAAATCACATCACCGAGATCTTACCTACATCCTACAACAATGACTAGTAAATCACATCACCGAGATCTTACCTACATCCTACCTGACTAGTAAATCACATCACATACATCCTACATCCTACAACAATGACTAGTAAATCACATCACCGAGATCTTACCTACATCCTACAACAATGACTAGTAAATCACATCACCGAGATCTACATCCTACATCCTACAACAATGACTAGTAAATCACATACATCCTACAACAATGACTAGTAAATCACATCACCGAGATCTTACCTACATCCTACAACAATGACTAGTGAATCACATCACTGAGATCTTACCTACATCCTACAACAATGACTAGTACACATCACCGAGATAAATCACATCACCGACAATGACTAGTAAATCACATCACATCCTACATCCTACAACAATGACTAGTAAATCACATCACCGAGATCTTACCTACATCCTACATCCTACAATGACTAGTAAATCACATCACCGAGATCTTACCTACATCCTACATGGCCTACAACAATGACTAGTAAATCACATCACCGAGATCTTACCTACATCCTACAACAATGGCTAGTAAATCACATCACCGAGATCTTACCTACATCCTACATCCTACAACAATGACTAGCACATCACCGTAAATCACATCACCGAGATCTTACCTACATCCTACATCCTACAATGACTAGTAAATCACATCACCGAGATCTTACCTACATCCTACAACAATGACTAGTAAATCACATCACCGAGATCTTACACATCACATCCTACATCCTACAACAATGACTAGTAAATCACATCACCGAGATCTTACCTACATCCTACATCCTACAATGACTAGTAAATCACATCACCGAGATCTTACCTACATCCTACAACAATGACTAGTAAATCACATCACCGAGATCTTATCCTACAACAATGACTAGTAAATCACATCACCGAGATCTTACCTACATCCTACAACAATGGCTAGTAAATCACATCACCGAGATCTTACCTACATCCTACGACAATGACTAGTAAATCACATCACCGAGATCTTACCTACATCCTACATCCTACGACAATGACTAGTAAATCACATCACCGAGATCTTACCTACATCCTACATCCTACGACAATGACTAGTAAATCACATCACCGAGATCTTACCTACATCCTACATCCTACGACAATGACTAGTAAATCACATCACCGAGATCTTACCTACATCCTACGACAATGACTAGTAAATCACATCACCGAGATCTTACCTACATCCTACGACAATGACTAGTAAATCACATCACCGAGATCTTACCTACATCCTACAACAATGGCTAGTAAATCACATCACCGAGATCTTACCTACATCCTACGACAATGACTAGTAAATCACATCACCGAGATCTTACCTACATCCTACGACAATGACTAGTAAATCACATCACCGAGATCTTACCTACATCCTACATCCTACGACAATGACTAGTAAATCACATCACCGAGATCTTACCTACATCCTACATCCTACGACAATGACTAGTAAATAACATCACCGAGATCTTACCTACATCCTACATCCTACAACAATGACTAGTTAATCACATCACCGAGATATTACCTACATCCTACATCCTACAACAATGACTAGTTAATCACATCATCGAGATCTTACCTACATCCTACATCCTACAACAATGACTAGTTAATCACATCACCGAGATCTTACCTACCACAAGTTACACTGGATCACTAATGACCTGTGTAACTCTCTGTCAACTTAATAAATTTTGTATGACAATTTTCATTTTCTTGAATCAGACAAAATTTTAACATCAATTCTCCCCTACAGCCTTAGGCAGTAACAGCTAGCATTTCTCCTTTTTCAATGATTACCAGAATCCAATATTTGTTTGCATCTAGCTAGGTACATCTAACAAACATCTCCTCATATATCCTCTGCTACTTTAAGTTCACATTTCGATGAACAAGAAATTTTAATGGCAGTCCATAAGTAAAAGAATGGATCATTTCAATACTTTATAAAGTATTACCAAAGAAATATGTACGAATTGTAAACCAGATCTGACAAGAACTCCTCAGTACCTTCCAGTCTGAACATTTCAAGTAATTAAACTGAATACAATGAGCTGTACTTCCTTTAACAGATAATCTGTAAAGTTAGCCTATATCAAACTGAATACAATGAGCTGTACTTCCTTTACACAGATAATCTGTAAAGTTAGCCTATATCAAACTGAATACAATGAGCTGTACTTCCTTTACACAGATAATCTGTAAAGTTAGCCTATATCAAACTGAATACAATGAGTTGTACTTCCTTTACACAGATAATCTGTAAAGTTAGCCTATATCAAACTGAATACAATGAGCTGTACTTCCTTTACACAGATAATCTGTAAAGTTAGCCTATATCAAACTGAATACAATGAGCTGTACTTCCTTTACACAGATAATCTGTAAAGTTAGCCTATATCAAACTGAATACAATGAGCTGTACTTCCTTCTACAGATAATCTGTAAAGTTAGCCTATATCAAACTGAATACAATGAGCTGTACTTCCTTTACACAGATAATCTGTAAAGTTAGCCTATATTAAACTGAATACAATGAGCTGTACTTCCTTTACACAGATAATCTGTAAAGTTAGCCTATATCAAACTGAATACAATGAGCTGTACTTCCTTTACACAGATAATCTGTAAAGTTAGCCTATATCAAACTGAATACAATGAGCTGTACTTCCTTTACACAGATAATCTGTAAAGTTAGCCTATATCACACTGAATACAATGAGCTGTACTTCCATTACACAGATAATCTGTAAAGTTAGCCTATATCAAACTGAATACAATGAGCTGTACTTCCTTTACACAGATAATCTGTAAAGTTAGCCTATATCAAACTGAATACAATGAGCTGTACTTCCTTCTACAGATAATCTGTAAAGTTAGCCTATATCAAACTGAATACAATGAGCTGTACTTCCTTTACACATATAATCTGTAAAGTTAGCCTATATCAAACTGAATACAATGAGCTGTACTTCCTTTACACAGATAATCTGTAAAGTTAGCCTATATCAAGCTGAATACAATGAGCTGTACTTCCTTCTACAGATAATCTGTAAAGTTAGCCTATATCACACTGAATACAATGAGCTGTACTTCCTTTACACAGATAATCTGTAAAGTTAGCCTATATCACACTGAATACAATGAGCTGTACTTCCTTTACACAGATAATCTGTAAAGTTAGCCTATATCAAACTGAATACAATGAGCTGTACTTCCTTTACACAGATAATCTGTAAAGTTAGCCTATATCAAACTGAATACAATGAGCTGTACTTCCTTTACACAGATAATCTGTAAAGTTAGCCTATATCAAACTGAATACAATGAGCTGTACTTCCTTTACACAGATAATCTGTAAAGTTAGCCTATATCAAACTGAATACAATGAGCTGTACTTCCTTCTACAGATAATCTGTAAAGTTAGCCTATATCAAACTGAATACAATGAGCTGTACTTCCTTCCACAGATAATCTGTAAAGTTAGCCTATATCAAACTGAATACAATGAGCTGTACTTCCTTCTACTGATAATCTGTAAAGTTAGCCTATATTAAACTGAATACAATGAGCTGTACTTCCTTTACACAGATAATCTGTAAAGTTAGCCTATATTAAACTGAATACAATGAGCTGTACTTCCTTCTACTGATAATCTGTAAAGTTAGCCTATATTAAACTGAATACAATGAGCTGTACTTCCCTTCATCAGATAAACTGTAAAGTTAGCCTATACCAAACTGAAAACTTTTACCAATGCTTAATCTGTGAATTCGAAGTAAAAATCAAAATCCATTCCAAGTGACAATTCACTAAAATATCCAGGGTACCCAAGCCCTTACAGGTACTTTTGACACTGCCATTCCATATATATACAAGAATAGGTACGACCTAATATAGGTTTAGAAACCATTCAGAAAAAAATCTATGACCTATTTTTTTTATTTTGGCCACAGTTTCTTCTAATTTCTTTTTCGCAAAATTTTAAACTAAATAACAGTAACAACATCCATTAACAAACATACTTTGCTAAAAAGAATTTTTCAAATTTTAAAATCATTCCTCACAAATAAAATGTTTTTGCGAAAGGTAAAAATAACTTGTGACTATTTCATAACAATTCCTGGTCCTGGCCTCTACTGGGTTGACCAATATCACCTTGTCCATTGTTCATGCTGTTAGTCAGTGATTAATATTTTATCTAATATGCACACTCTCCCAGCACTAGAACATGGCAGTGTTTATTTGACAGAATAAGCAGCAGATAGCAAGAAAATCTTCCTGTGTGACATTCTTTAAGTGAAAAGGCAATTAATCAAAAGATTTTGTAAATTCAAACAATTTGGATGACATCATGTTCATTTGGTTAGCAAGTGCTTGATGACATCTCACAGATAAATCTTCTTTATCAATCATACTTGGTTTCTCTGTCAACCCCCTCTCTCCTCCTTACACTAGACTGAGAATATTTGATACTTCCCTGCCTAAATTTAGAATAAATATATTGATGAAGTGTGGGAGAATACAGTAGCTAAGGACCTGAGCCCGCAGCAGACCAGTAGAATTTATTAACATGCATCATTACCAGGCAAGAAATGTTTACCTGTGACATCTGTCTCTAAACCTGGGTAGGGAATGAAACGAGCATGAATATATACAAGAGACAAAAAGGATGGTTTAGGATGATAGTGAAATGTATTTGATACACATGTATAGAGAACAGGCTTTGTGATATATAACAGATTTACTAGCACCTCATGTCAAATGTGTTAGATCATATAAAAGGTTTAAGAAAGGATGTCAGGAACCATGCCCACTGTTTATAAATATAGTAAATAAATACTTGTTTGTTTGTCAAACTGACAGACATAGTTGTGCAAGAACAAACAATACACATTATTCTGTTTCTATTATTTGAATTCTACTGTAACTCAGGTAAATTTCAATACAAGAAAATCATTCAGTTGACTTAAGCCAGTTACACTCTATCTCAGGTCTCAGGCAATCTTCTTAATGTCAGGCATCTATAACTTGTCATGATTATTACCCAAAGTAAAGATTTCCTTGATTTTTCAATTCTTCACTGAATTTTATTTTATATGATTTTTATCATTATTCTACTTTCAATGGACAATTTCAGGCTACAAACCATTTCAGTATTTCCATCTGAGTATAAGATCTACTCTGCACCTATCTTGAGATATTTAGACCATGAGATAATAATGATAACCTACTTTTCTCTATCCAGGTGTCATAAAGATGGGCCATAAGAAGTGGCTCCTTGAGCTGTCGGAAAAATCGTTTGAGGGCGTTGGCTACATCATGTACAGTGTGCGTGCCCATCTCCAGCTTCACAGCATTAGCATCTATAACAAAATCAATTCTTAATTACCTCATGTCAAATCATCATGTACACGGATTTTTTTAAAAATCTTCTACTGTTCCCGATAGTATCTGCTTAGCAACAGTATACGTATTAGTACAGTATACCATAAAACTACAAATTTGACATCAGTAGTATGATAGGATTAAACTTTTTTTAAAAATTCAGAGAATAACTTTCAACTTATCCAAGGTATTGCCAAAGTCAGCCTTTGTTTTGAATTTGACTAAGATGTGAAGTGACTTGAATGACCATGACGGGACAGTAAGAATAATATCATATATGCCCCCTCCTTCCTTCCATAAAATGGCATGTTTTCTTTTTACAAAATAAGGAGATAATATCTAATACAGAACCTTTTGTCTTTTGTAAGATCCCTTTATTGTCTATTATGTGATTACAAGGCCACTATATGGATAGATGAAATATTAAAAACAAACTAATAAATCAACAGGTGACGCATTACCTTTGGCAAACATCTGTAGAAGTGTATCAACCTTAGAGTGTATGGCAGCTAATCTGTATATACCTTCCTCTCGTAGGCCTGAAAGATTAATGATATTTCTATATACCATTATGTCATACCCTGTAAGTTAAACAATAGTTATATATATCTTCCTCTCGTAGGCCTGAAAGATTAACGATATTTATATATGCCATCTTGTCATACCCTGTAATTTAAACAATGTTTATATACACTTCCTGACTTCGGCTCGAATTCAAACAATAACTTCCTCTATAATCCTTAGTATAAACAGATATTTTCCACCATTGATTTACCATGCTGTACTATAAACAGACATTTTCTACTATATAAACTTACTATGCTCTGCTACAAACTGAAATTTTGCTCTTTAAACTTACTATGTTCCTCTATAATCTTAACATGCCCCTCGGTATAAACTTACTATGTTCCTCTATAATCTTAACATGCCCCTCGGTATAAACTTACTATGTTCCTCTATAATCTTAACATGCCCCTCGGTATAAACTTACTATGTTCCTCTATAATCTTAACATGCCCCTCGGTATAAACTTACTATGTTCCTCTATAATCTTAACATGCCCCTCGGTATAAACTTACTATGTTCCTCTATAATCTTAACATGCCCCTCGGTATAAACTTACTATGTTCCTCTATAATCTTAACATGCCCCTCGGTATAAACTTACTATGTTCCTCTATAAACTTACTATGCCCCTTGGTATAAACTGACATTCTCCTCTATAAACTTACAATGCTCCTCGGTATAAACTGACATTCTCCTTTATAATCTTAAAACTGTTTCTGGATTATAAATTATAAGCAGTACCATTTTTCCTCATGAGTCGGCGTGCAGCTTATATATGGATAGAATTTTTTTTAAATGGTAAAAATCGGCTCTGCGGCTTATAACCCAGAAAATACAGTGTGTTCCTCAGTTTAAAGCGAAATTTTCTTCTATAAACTCACCATGCTCTTCTATAAACTTCAGACATTTGTCCACTATCACAGGTACGTCATCTGATGTCAGCTGTTGGTCAACCAGTGTGTTCCCACCAGACTGAAAATAGAAAAATATCATATCAACCTCTCATTCATTAAAAATATTATGTTAACCACTCATTGATAATATAGCTCAGTGTGTTCCCACCAGACTGTGAAAATGGAAAATATTATATTAACCACTCATTGATAATATAGCTCAGTGTGTTCCCACCAGACTGTGAAAACAGAAAAATATTATATCAACCACTCATTGATAATATAACTTAGTGTGTTCCCACCAGACTGTGAAACAGAGTACTATATTAACCCTTCAGTCTATACAACAATCTGAATCACAACACTGTAAATCACTTAGAGAATATGACTTAATATAAGTTTTGACACGGTATTGATGAAATAAATAACAGGAAATAAATTAAGTCTATTCAAGGATGCTTGATGTGATGAATCAGTTGCAAAGAAAGTCAATGGCCCACTAATACACATACTTTTTAGATCTATATACATGCCTTAACCTTGCTGGCAACATTTCCCTTACTCTATAATGGAGAAACCTGAATCAACGACTGTATAATAGTAGTATACAGTAATACTTACCCTCATCAAACTACTGATTGCATTGAATAGCCTCTCTGTGTCTTTTATTAAGTCTGCCTGGAAGTACAATGCCCTGAAAGGAGATACATGTTGTGATTAAGAAATCTGTATTTGAAATATAGCTTTCTATGACTGAGTTTTTGACATTATCTTTCTTTCAAAACCATGCTCTCTTAACCCCATAGCAAGAATGCATCAGGGCTTAACTCTAGATATAAATGTTTTGTTTAAAAACTCACATCAGTCGAAAACTGTCTTCATAAAGAAAACATATCACACACATCTACATACTTAGAATATAAAGAGTCTCACAAATCATTTAACGAGATGATAATATCACATCCATATTCTGCCTCACCTGCCACCAGGGAGATCAAGGACAAAGTGTTTGCCATTCTCTTTACAGGATGCACTACTGCTCACTGCATCATCATGATGGTATTCTGTAAAATCGTACACAGTATTCAAGCTACCAGCTAGCTGTTACTTATCTCACTTAAGTTACTTATCTAATTTATTTATGTGACTTTCAATCATATTCATTAAAATAAAATTGTAACCACATCAGTTATTGTTCTGTGGTCTTTGTTGGAAGGTGTCATTCCTGTTATTGTAACTTATTCCTACAGGTAATATCATACCCCTTCATTCTAGGTTAAATAGCATGGCCTAGGAGCTGTAGGATTTCAAAAACAACTTCCTACGACATTTTCACACATTTTGCTGCAGTGAACTTGAATATTAGCCAAGGAAATTCAGTTAGGTAGAACTTCATTCCATTTTATACCGGCCATATATCATAACAAGTGATGTTTGTAACGGAGAATTCACTGTAAAATCCGTAACTTTTGTGGAGGTTTTATTCAAAATAAATTTTTTTGGTTACTCAAAGCAGCAAAAAAGATAACAAAAACAGACATGGATTATACTACTTGCAAATGTCGTGAGGAAGATTTATTCACAAAAGCAAGTGACACTGGAAATGTGAATTTTGCAAAACCACCATATCTTAGCCAAACAAAAATATATGATTTTACAGTAATTAAAACTTTTATTACATATGATACATGTGACATTGAAAGCCTAATAAACTATAGTCTAAATATGATCCTAGGCCTATTGGTTACCATAGAGTCATTTAAATATTTATAACACATCGGACCTTCTAAGTAGGTCACTGTTATTAATTTGAGTGAAATTCATTACCCTTTAACCAATCAAGTTACTTTAACTGATTATCATTACCATGGGCCTCTTGGTTATTCAGACGTTTACAAATGTTAACACATATGGCCCCTTGATCTTGAAAGTGGGTCAAGGTCATTCATTTGAACAAAGAACTTTACATTCTTTCACACCAGCATCAGTTCATATCATGATCTTGGTATTTTAGTAATTAAAAAGAATTTGCTGAACTTTGAAAAAATAATTTGCCTTATATGAAGAAAAAGTTTTCAACATCTTCTAACCACTCCAGGTTGATAAGGTTACCACACAATGTAAACATATCTAATTTTGTTTTAAAAGTTATTGTTAATCCCTTACCCTGTGTATGTTCCCATGAACCAACAATTGAATGGTTCACAAACTAAATTCAGTTATCACTCATAATATAAAAGGAAAATTTCTGAATTCTTAATGGTTTCTTGCCTTTCCATCAATTAAGCTTTTACACAAGATAATATTTAACATGTGTGTTAGTTAATTGTTATTTAGGACACTGTCTGAACTGTTATCCTAAGTGTACAACTTAAGACTGTAGCAGTATTTACTTACTGATATTAACAGCTTTTCTGAGGTCTACATCATCTGTTAGCTTCATATCCTGGGAACAAACAAGACTATCATTGATGGCATTGAAAACTGGCTACCCAGTTAGTTATCACAAGTACTCAGGCTGTCTGTACTACTGGCACAGAGTATATGATGGTTACAGTCTTAAATTAACATATGTCAAATAACTTTTGCCAGGGGTGAAAAAACATTTAAAATGGCAGGTTCTTCAATTCCAGATTTTGTTTTCTTTTTTAATAATGACAAGTTCTTCAATCTCTCAATTTTTTCCCTCGAGATAATGACATTATTTTGCTATATTTTTACTGATTATTTTGAATTGGGACAGAATTCATTTTTCTAAAGTTTGATAGACGAATGCAGGTTATGTTATGACACTACCTACCATGTCTGTATATAACACAACCTTTTTGTTGATCATAACCCAGGTCTCATACCAGGTCTGCAAAGAGAAAATCCAACAGTATTCTCTGGGTTTTCCTAATGAGCAATTTAAGGTATGTGGTGTAACTGTTTTTAAGTAATACAACACCTTGGTATATGTATCTTTCACCAGATATCAGTGTTGTATCACTGGTGAAATTAAATAGAGGAAGATACATATACCAAGGTGTTGTATCACTGGTGAAATAGAATAGAGGAAGATACATATACCAAGGTGTTGTATCACTGGTGAAATAGAATAGAGGACAATACATATACAAGGTGTTGTATCACTGGTGAAATAGAATAGAGGAAGATATATATACCAAGGTGTTGTATCACTGGTGAAATAGAATAGAGGATGATACATACACAAGGTGTTGTATCACTGGTGAAATAGAATAGAGGAAGATACATATACCAAGGTGTTGTATCACTGGTGAAATAGAATAGAGTAATATACATGTACAAGGTATATTTGGTATATAACAAAATGTACAGCTAGAGCTCAATGGCTGTATTTTTATGTCAATTATTTCGTTTCTTTGGCTTTGTTTTTTTTCCACAAGGCTTTATCGAGTTATAAATGATTTATTTTATGGATGCATGTTGTCAGTAACCATTTACTGATGTACTTACGGAAGATAACCCTTCTTTCATATAAAATTTTCCTGCCAGGGAGAAATCCTGCTGTCGCACATCTTCTATCAACGGTATTGGACAGATCAGCTAGAAAGGATCCAAGGAAAATGTATTTAAGTACAACTGGTTATAAGTTTGTAAACATATATCTGATTGTAGATTTTGGCCCAAAAGAGTTAAAAATCTATAAAAAATCCAAAACAAGTCGAACTTGACAACAACCAACTTACATTAGACATAAAAGAAACTTGCTAGAAAAATCCATGAACTATCCTTGAAAAACATTTCAAACTATTTACATGATGTTTCAGGAAATTAAAATATATATATATATATACCTCCGATATTTTCCTCATCCATGTCATCTTCTCTTCAGGAGAGGCTGCGGCAAACAGATATACGCGATTCCCCGTAGACGAAGAAGTACTCAGTTCAAACGCCTCAGGGTATCTACAAAAGGTCACAGGTCAAACATCATATGTAAAGGATAATTGATTTTTCGTCTTGTTTCATCACAGTAATATATTTTTCTCTCAGTTGTATTAACTACACCACAACATTTCAAAGTTGGTTTTATATGAATAACATATTCATCATATAAAACAAATAAATACAACCTTAGATGTACCAAGCATATCATGAATTGAAAGAACAATCAAGGAAAGATTGCATATCATTCCTTGTTGGATTTATACTTGTCATTCACTCAAATGTTTTCAAACACAAGTATCCACCTGCATGGCCTAACCTACACATAAGTAAACATAATGATTCCTAACCGACAGAAATCTCTGGCTGTTGAGATTAATTCATACCACATATCAAATAAATTAAAACCAAATTGTAGCAACTTTCAAAAATAAAAATTCTTGTGGTAACTCATAAAATAAATCACAAAGTTAGACAATTATCCAGATCATAAGGATTACTATAGGCTTTCACCAGTACACCCTTGCCAGACGAGCCAATATCTATTGACAGAGCAACATCATTTTCACATTTTTCTTTCTACTAATCCCTATACGTCTTTTCCCGTTTTTCTTTGGTACATTTACAGCACCCACACCCCTGATCTTTCTGTTCTGTCATGTCACTGAAATCCAAACACATTTAATAAGGATATAAACTTATCCTGTGATATGGCCATAGGGCCAACACAATACCTTTAGCTCAAATATCAGGTATTGATTAATGTCATTTAAGACAATGAAATTATTTTTGTTGGTGGTTATATTGAACAGTAATATAAATTGGTGGGCTTATCACCAAGCATGGGCTTATTACTGGAAAAATTCAATTGTTAAATTAAACATAACCACACAGAAATTTACTTTCATAAAAAGAAATGCCTCCTACAAACATATAAATGAAAATAAAACTGATTTACACAAGTAAAAGAATAATCTATATGCATGTTATTGATATTTATATAATGACAATAATGAAGCTATACGGGTACTTGAAATATTTAAAAAAATAAATAACTGTTCTGCAGTGAGTAGAGGTGACTATATTAAGTACATGGTACAACATACAGTAGATACATTACAGACAATAAAGGTAGCATGCTTTGAGAAAAAAAATATGGAGCTATGTTGTATAATCAGAGGACAAGGACAGCTAAAAAAAACATATCCACAGTGCAATGATGCTGTCATCAGACCTAAAAGAAACAGCATGCTTTAGTGACATCCCAGCATGCTCTAGTGTCTGAACACACCAAATTAGGCACTTGTCAATCAATAAGTAAATATTTAAAAAGTGACATTTTTTTAATTACCAGCATCAAAAAACTATAATCATGTAGCTTGTCCCTGGACAATATAGCAATTTGACCCTCAAGTGACTTTGCTATAACCCAACCACTGTTTCTATATGTAGTCTGAAATAGGGTACATCCTACAATTATTCATAATCGCTGAACAGTAATATCATGTGACTTCCTGGTAAGTTCATATGATCAGTTCAATCTAATGAGGAAACATATACCACACCTTAGGGTATTAACCCACCCGCCCCCTTAACATACGAGGTCAAAACTCGACAATGTGTTATTATTGTAACCCCAGATCTACTAAGGCCAGTAAGGATCGACACATGATAACGGCCATCATCCTCAAATCAAGATGATTCATCATTCCTGATTTGTAATCACCAAAATTTTGTTGTGCCTGTAGGCTCTACATTTGGCAATCAGTTAATCACAGTATCAACTGTCTTCACATTCAGAGCACCGATCAATGGAAAAGTTCAAAACATTTGTCAGAAGTCTAAAGCAGTCTAAAGGAAAATGTCATTTTATCATCGCAGTGGTGTGATTGTGTGAGGACTGGAAAAGAATCATGGGAAGGCATGCAATGATTATTCTGAAGAATTCTGGGGCATGACAGTGAACTTAAATTATGTCCAATAAAATGTAGATCATCAGCATTAGTTCAAATCTCAATTAAAGCGAAATTGTTCCTTGATCAGACAAACAGTTTATAAGGAGTGCACTGATTACAGGAAGTGTCTGGTACAAAGACTTATCAATTAACTTGTAATTAACAAGATGTTCATTGATTGGACAAGAGTTTGTAAGGAGTGCATTGACTGATGGAATAGCCTGTAACAAGTGTTCAGAGAGTGTGCCATTTTCTATGGTGTTTACGAAGATCCATGGTGAAAACTGTATTTACCACAAAATATCACCAATCTACAACGGTCAGATTCAAATCGTAATTTATCATTATCAAACACAGACCTCACCAGTCTACATTAGTCATGCTGACAACAGATTGTCAATGATTAGATACTTAAAAATAGTAACCTTTAGAAAGAAGAAAGTATTACGATACAAATGGTGGAAGGTTAAGTTGAGGATCCAGCAGATTAAAAAGTCCCTAATCAGTCTGATAACTGTGTCTACTATTTGTGAAGATATCAACTTCAATATTGTAATAGACAAAGAGTAATGATTGTCACATAAAATGTTTACAATAAACTAATGTACATGTGAAAAAGTGGTAGAGGAGATACAACTTAAATACAAAAATTTTATAAGTAAAATTCTTAAATTCAAAATCTGGATCCGCACTTGTTTATTGATAAATACAAATAAATATCAATAAGAACATTACAACAATATACCTTGGAGACTGAAATGAAAACATACAGCATGCCATTTGGGGGATATATATGATGGTATGCCCACAACAGTACACAGTGGGATCCATTACCATACAACACAATACTAGCCTCTCACCATACCTGTCTTCCCATTGTACTGCTGTATATCTACTACAATATCATTCCTTCTGATGTATGGTCTTACATTTTCTCACTCGAAATAATACCAAATTTTTTTTTTTTTTCTTCTTTTCTATTCTAACTTCGAAAATTGATAAATGATATCAACTTAGCAAATACTATATCAAATTCTAATTTTAAGTATATATGTACACTGATAACAATGAGAAAATAAGCTTATACAAAATGAAACAAGGTTAATTTACCGATATAATGCCTCGTTAAAACAGATGATTAATGAATAAAATGGTTTGTATAGGATCTATATAATAAATATGGCAGATTTAGGTTTATTTTGATTTTTTTTACTGTTAATCTGGTAACATGTGTAAGTAAAGGTGATAAACAATATATTTGTGACATAACAGCTGTTAATCTTGTTACATTCACTATAATTTCAACACTGGGTGTTTTTATACAGTGACATTTTTCTTAATGTCCCTGGACAAAGCATCAAGAGCAATTCTATTTTTAGAAAGTGACTGTGACCTTTGATAAAGAAACTCAAATTCAATATTTTGTCGGTAATCTCTTCCCTTTCAAAATACAAAATACGTTTATTTGGTGGGTTCCAATGCCCATACTTAAAGGTAGCTATATTGCCTGTTTGATGTTGGAAGTAGTATTTGTTCTTAATGAGTAACAGATCTAAACACAAGATTCAAAAGTAAAATGCTGACAATGCTGTTGTTGCTGCCGATATTATCGCCATAAAGGTGAGACCATTGTATCATTACGTAACCTGTCCTTGTTAACAAGACCAAAACCTTCACACCAAGCTTAAGTAAAACCTACACACCGAGCTTCAGTAAAACCTACACACCGAGCTTAAGTAAAACCTACACACCGAGCTTCAGTAAAACCTACACACCAAGCTTCAGTAAAACCTACACACCAAGCTTCAGTAAAACCTACACACCAAGCTTCAGTAAAACCTACACACCAAGCTTCAGTAAAACCTACACACCAAGCTTCAGTAAAACCTACACACCAAGCTTCTATAAAACCTACACACCAAGCTTCTATAAAACCTACACACCAAGCTTCAGTAAAACCTACACACCAAGCTTCAGTAAAACCTACACACCAAGCTTCAGTAAAACCTACACACCAAGCTTCAGTAAAACCTACACACCAAGCTTCAGTAAAACCTACACACCAAGCTTCAGTAAAACCTACACACCAAGCTTCTATAAAACCTACACACCAAGCTTCTATAAAACCTACACACCAAGCTTCTATAAAACCTACACACCAAGCTTCAGTAAAACCTACACACCAAGCTTCAGTAAAACCTACACACCAAGCTTCAGTAAAACCTACACACCAAGCTTCAGTAAACCTACACACCAAGCTTCAGTAAAACCTACACACCAAGCTTCAGTAAAACCTACACACCAAGCTTCAGTAAAACCTACACACCAATCTTCAGTAAAACCTACACACCGAGCTTCAGTAAAACCTACACACCAAGCTTCAGTAAAACCTACACACCAAGCTTCAGTAAAACCTACACACCAAGCTTCAGTAAAACCTACAACCACCTACACACCAAGCTTCAGTAAAACCTACACACCAATCTTCAGTAAACCTACACACCAAGCTTCAGTAAAACCTACACACTTAGCTTCAGTAAAACTTACACACCAAGCTTCAGTAAAACTTACACACCAAGCTTCAGTAAAACCTACACACCAAGCCTACACACACCAAGCTTCAGTAAAACCTACACACCAAGCTTCAGTAAAACCTACACACCAAGCTTCAGTAAAACCTACACACCAAGCTTCAGTAAAACCTACACACCAAGCTTCAGTAAAACCTACACACCAAGCTTCAGTAAAACCTACACACCAAGCTTCAGTAAAACCTACACACCAAGCTTCAGTAAAACCTACACACCAAGCTTCAGTAAAACCTACACACCAAGCTTCAGTAAAACCTACACACCAAGCTTCAGTAAAACCTACACACCAAGCTTCAGTAAAACCTACACACCAATCTTCAGTAAAACCTACACACTTAGCTTCAGTAAAACCTACACACCAAGCTTCAGTAAAACCTACACACCAAGCTTCAGTAAAACCTACACACCAAGCTTCAGTAAAACCTACACACCAAGCTTCACACCAAGCTTCAGTAAAACCTACACACCAAGCTTCAGTAAAACCTACACACCAAGCTTCAGTAAAACCTACACACCAAGCTTCACACACCGAGCTTCAGTAAAACCTACACACCAAGCTTCAGTAAAACCTACACACCAAGCTTCAGTAAAACCTACACACTTAGCTTCAGTAAAACCTACACACCAAGCTTCTATAAAACTTAACACACCAAGCTTCAGTAAAACCTACACACCGAGCTTCAGTAAAACCTACACACCAAGCTTCTATAAAACCTACACACCAAGCTTCAGTAAAACCTACACACCAAGCTTCAGTAAAACCTACACACCAAGCTTCAGTAAAACCTACACACCAAGCTTCAGTAAAACCTACACACCAAGCTTCAGTAAAACCTACACACCAAGCTTCAGTAAAACCTACACACCAAGCTTCAGTAAAACCTACACACCAAGCTTCAGTAAAACCTACACACCAATCTTCAGTAAAACCTACACACCAAGCTTCAGTAAAACCTACACACCAAGCTTCAGTAAAACCTACACACCAAGCTTCAGTAAAACCTACACACCAAGCTTCAGTAAAACCTACACACCAAGCTTCAGTAAAACCTACACACCAAGCTTCAGTAAAACCTACACACCAAGCTTCAGTAAAACCTACACACCAAGCTTCAGTAAAACCTACACACACACCAGCTTCAGTAAAACCTACACACCAAGCTTCTAGTAAAACCTACACACCAAGCTTCACACACCAAGTAAAACCTACACACCAAGCTTCAGTAAAACCTACACACCAAGCTTCAGTAAAACCTACACACCAAGCTTCAGTAAAACCTACACACCAAGCTTCAGTAAAACCTACACACCAAGCTTCAGTAAAACCTACACACCAAGCTTCAGTAAAACCTACACACCAAGCTTCAGTAAAACCTACACACCAAGCTTCAGTAAAACCTACACACCAAGCTTCAGTAAAACCTACACACCAAGCTTCAGTAAAACCTACACACTTAGCTTCAGTAAAACCTACACACCAAGCTTCAGTAAAACCTACACACCAAGCTTCTATAAAACTTAACACACCAAGCTTCAGTAAAACCTACACACCAAGCTTCAGTAAAACCTACACACCAAGCTTCAGTAAAACCTACACACCAATCTTCAGTAAAACCTACACATCAATCTTCAGTAAAACCTACACACTTAGCTTCAGTAAAACCTACACACCAAGCTTCAGTAAAACCTACACACCAAGCTTCAGTAAAACCTACACACCAAGCTTCAGTAAAACCTACACACCAAGCTTCAGTAAAACCTACACACCAAGCTTCAGTAAAACCTACACACCAAGCTTCAGTAAAACCTACACACCAAGCTTCAGTAAAACCTACACACCAAGCTTCAGTAAAACCTACACACCAAGCTTCAGTAAAACCTACACACCAAGCTTCACACACACCAAGCTTCAGTAAAACCTACACACCAAGCTTCTTCAGTAAAACCTACACACCAAGCTAAAACCTACACACCAAGCTTCACACCAAGCTTCAGTAAAACCTACACACCAAGCTTCAGTAAAAACCTACACACCAAGCTTCAGTAAAACCTACACACCAAGCTTCAGTAAAACCTACACACCAAGCTTCAGTAAAACCTACACACCAAGCTTCAGTAAAACCTACACACCAAGCTTCAGTAAAACCTACACACCAAGCTTCAGTAAAACCTACACACCAAGCTTCAGTAAAACCTACACACCAAGCTTCAGTAAAACCTACACACCAAGCTTCAGTAAAACCTACACACCAAGCTTCAGTAAAACCTACACACCAAGCTTCAGTAAAACCTACACACCAAGCTTCAGTAAAACCTACACACCAAGCTTCAGTAAACCTGCACACTTAGCTTCAGTAAAACCTACACACCAAGCTTCACACACCAAGTAAAAACCTACACACCAAGCTTCAGTAAAACCTACACACTTAGCTTCAGTAAAACCTACACACCAAGCTTCAGTAAAACCTACACACCAAGCTTCAGTAAAACCTACACACCAAGCTTCAGTAAAACCTACACACCAAGCTTCAGTAAAACCTACACACCAAGCTTCAGTAAAACCTACACACCAAGCTTCAGTAAAACCTACACACCAAGCTTCAGTAAAACCTACACACCAAGCTTCAGTAAAACCTACACACCAAGCTTCAGTAAAACCTACACACCAAGCTTCAGTAAAACCTACACACACCAAGCTTCAGTAAAACCTACACACCAAGCCTACACACCAAGCTTCAGTAAAACTTACACACCAAGCTTCAGTAAAACCTACACACCAAGCTTCAGTAAAACCTACACACCAAGCTTCAGTAAAACCTACACACCAAGCTTCAGTAAAACCTACACACCAAGCTTCAGTAAAACCTACACACCAAGCTTCAGTAAAACCTACACACCAAGCTTCAGTAAAACCTACACACCAAGCTTCAGTAAAACCTACACACCAAGCTTCAGTAAAACCTACACACCAAGCTTCAGTAAAACCTACACACCAAGCTTCAGTAAAACCTACACACCAAGCTTCACACACACCAAGCTTCAGTAAAACCTACACACCAAGCTTCAGTAAAAACCTACACACCAAGCTTCAGTAAAACCTACACACCAAGCTTCAGTAAAACCTACACACCAAGCTTCAGTAAAACCTACACACCAATCTTCAGTAAAACCTACACACCAAGCTTCAGTAAAACCTACACACCAAGCTTCAGTAAAACCTACACACCAAGCTTCAGTAAAACACACACCAAGCTTCAGTAAAACCTACACACCAAGCTTCGGTAAAACCTACACACCAAGCTTCAGTAAAACCTACACACCAAGCTTCAGTAAAACCTACACACCAAGCTTCAGTAAAACCTACACACCAAGCTTCAGTAAAACCTACACACCAAGCTTCAGTAAAACCTACACACCAAGCTTCAGTAAAACCTACACACCAAGCTTCCTACACACCAAGTAAAACCTACACACCAAGCTTCAGTAAAACCTACACACCAAGCTTCAGTAAAACCTACACACCAAGCTTCAGTAAAACCTACACACCAAGCTTCAGTAAAACCTACACACCAAGCTTCAGTAAAACCTACACACCAAGCTTCAGTAAAACCTACACACCAAGCTTCTATAAAACTTACACACCAAGCTTCAGTAAAACCTACACACCAAGCTTCAGTAAAACCTACACACCAAGCTTCAGTAAAACCTACACACCAAGCTTCAGTAAAACCTACACACCAAGCTAAGTAAAACCTACACACCAAGCTTCAGTAAAACCTACACACCGAGCTTCAGTAAAACCTACACACCAAGCTTCAGTAAAACCTACACACCAAGCTTCAGTAAAACTTACACGTCATGTTTGAACTTCCTACAGTAAAATCTACACACCAAGTTAGAACTTTATGAAGTTATTCATTCTGTGAAATTCAATGTTTGACGATAGTAACCTTAGTTTTTGACAGGCCAAGCCCAAATTAAACATGACTTATGATAGACATAGTGACCTTGACCTTTCACAATAATATTACAACCTTAAGGATCAAACCAAGGTTCCATTTGAAGTTTGGGTCTTGACAGAAAAAATATTTTAAACAGTGACCTTGACCTTTCATGAATGACCAAAACTAGGGATAAAATTTTGAACAGACCACATTTATAACCTTTCTGTTTCAATTTTTTTTAGGATAATGAAACAACAGTGATTAAAGCACCTAGGGATTTTTTCCTCTAAAGGAAAACAAATATTGCCCTGAATAACACAATAGATTTAGTGGATTAAATGTCATTCTGAGACACCATCTACCATTCCCCCCCCCTTTTCTGAGATTTGATAACACAATAATGGAATACATGTTTACACACACAGATGTATATACATACAGATATTAAAGAATACCATATTTATTCTATTGAACACCTCTTTCGTAATGTTTACCAAGAATTCAATCAAAACTAAATAATAAATCTTGTCCTGAACACAGGAAACTGAATGTAATACCTAAATGTTTACTCTGATTATATGTTTTACAAGTACATTCAATTTTTCTACTTCTTCCTCTAGCCTTTTTTTAGTTTTAATGTTAAGACCATGAAGGAATTAAATTGAATAAATATGGTAAAATGTGTAGAATTATTATGCTAAGATATTTTTATGTATTGTAGCAGCAGCAGAAAAGAATGGGAGGACAGGCTGGTCAAGAGCTAGTACATAGTGGTACAAGACCTCACCTGTTGGTAATCTCCATTTTTTGGTTTATAAGGGGAGCCTTGATACTCAGTATCGACCTAGGGTACATAACCAAACACAGTCAATATACAACTCGGACCCCCAGAATTATGATACTGGTTATAGTATACTCTGTAGTACAAGACAGTTCTCACCCAGTCATGGCTCAGTATGTTTCACTGGCCACAATCTTCTCATCATATATACTTCCATTTTTATCACACAATTTCCATTTAACATTCAGTAAGTGACCTCCACTGATAAATACATGTGAAAGTCCTCAGTCCTGTACACCTATTTTGATAGAACTTGAAGAATTTCTGGATACACTGAAATATTACATTGTAGCACCCACTGTTTTTAATGATAAAGTCCCAAAAACACTCATGGAAATAACTTGTACATCGATCACTGGAGCTCCTCAGATTAATTGTGACACAAGAAGTGATAATGAAATCAGACAATTCTGTATCAGAAAGTGACCGTGGAATGACATGAAAAAGCATTTCTTTAGTAAATTTTCAAAACAAATTTTATCGTATGACAGAAAAATCTGAAACCTAAAAAAAATATTACATTTTTTAAAAAAAATTCAGCTAGCCAAAAACAAAGATTTGTTTCATAAATCTTACACAAACTCATACATCAACCTATGTCTCATTGCTCTCTCAAAATGACCTTATACATATATTTATCTGGGTAATTAAAAGTATACTGAATTCAGCATAAAGAACAAATAAATCAGGTTCAAAATCTTTGTGATGGTTTATAATTATATTAAATACAAACACACTTTTTTGGACACAAAACATGATTTTTCTATTTCCTGCTATTATCTGATAGACTGATTTACTTTATTCGAAGAAAATACTTTGTAAACAAGCGATCCAAGAGGGATCTTGGCGCCCACCATTGTTTGATCTTTATTTGCTCTTTGAGAGTCGGATCTTTTTCCTTGAATGATAAGTGATAAGGAATTTCAACATTCCTTTGCAGAAATAGTGATGATAATCTTTACCTGCCAAATCCAAAATGGCCACCTGGAAGTAATTTTGTTTCTTCTCATAAGTACCAAAATCAAACAGGCACTAGTAGAGACCAAATGGATATATGCATGAAATTTGAGAGAGATCCATTCAGTACTTCTAAGAAATAGGGATAACAATCTTTATTATGTGAAATCCAAGATGGTGGCATGTCTGCCATTTTGTTTTTCTGATCAGTTCCAAAATCAAGTAGGGATCAAGGAAATCCTACACATGACCTCTGAGAAAAGATCTATGCTGTAGTTCTCAAGAAATAGTGATAAGAAACTTTCAAGTCAAAATCTAAGATGGCTGCCTGTCAACCATTATGTTTTTCTGTCCAGTCCTAAATTTAATGGACACAACTAAAAGCTAAGGGGGACCTTGTATAAATTGTTTGAGAGATCCATCCAGTACTTTTCCAGAAATAGTGAAAAAATCCAAGATGGCTGCCTGTCAGGCCTTTTTTTTTTGTTATCACTTTAAAAATCAAATGGGTACAACTGGGGACCATGGGGAACCCACATGTGAAATTTGAGAAAGATCCATCTAGTACTTGGCAAGAAACAGTGATAACAAAAACTGTAAATGGATGAACAGACTGACGGACTACAGATCAAAGACGTTGGGGGATTTGCATAGCCACCATCTGATGATGATAGGCTAAAAATAACATATAAAATTTGATGTGATACTTCACTCATTATCAACACATGTACAGAATAAAGGAAAAATAAGTTATGTGCACCCATCAAGAACTTAAAGCTTAAGAGTTAAATCTTAACAATTGACTGCACTGTTGTTGGGGAAAGGTATGGAAAATAAGGGGACTCATGGATAGATAAAGAACTCACCGGTCAGTAGGAGTAGCCTGGACACACAGCATGCTTTCATGATCGATGACACCATTCGCTGTCCCACTCTAAAAAACAAACACAACTAGGTTACTTCAGATGGGACTTCCATTCTGCTACCATAGCATAAGCTTGTCTATCTAGTACAGTTTTCTTAGTTTAGTCTCACAAGTCATACAATATATTTGCACTAGCGTAATCTAACATCTGGCTATTGTGACAATGTGTCTGATCCAACTCCTGCCTATTGACAATGTGTCTGATCCAACTCCTGCCTATTGTGACAATGTGTCTGATCCAACTCCTGCCTATTGACAATGTGTCTGATCCAACTCCTGCCTATTGTGACAATGTGCTAAATCCAACTCCTGGCTATTGACAATGTGTCTGACACAACTCCTTGCTATTATGACAAGAGGCTCAATGGGCATGTATTACTTACCTTTCCTTTAGTTACAGAGAAGACTTTTAGCTTATTATCCTAATTTCTGCAAACCTGATGCTTGGTCTTTAAGTATATTACTACACAAATACTGTGTACCAGGACTATCATTTCTCAAAATAAATTCTAAATTCTTTACACATTTGACCCCTGAGACATTGAAAGAGGTTCAAGGTCATCCATTTGAGCAAACTGTGTTCCACAACACACAGGCATGCTACAAAACCAAATTCATTTTTGGTTATTGAGAAGTATGAATGGTGCAAAAATGCAGATGGACAGATAGATGCTGCAACACAATATAAGCTCATGTATCCTTAAGGGAGGTGTGCCAAAAAGTCAATAATAAACTTTTCTTAATGAACAATAAGAGAAAAAATATTTCATAATGAAAAAGTATTATCTTTAAAATGTAAGATAAAGTAAAGAACTGCTGTGACCTACTTTTTCATTTGTGAAGTATCGCATACAGCCATGCTCCAGCACACAAAACCGTTTCAGGAAAACTGAAAACAATATCAGAAAATAATGCATAAGTGGCCTCCTACAGAAAGCAAACTGACTATAATCTTATATAATTAAACAATTACACATTTAAAAAATTTCTTTCATCAGAAGATATTCTCATCCTTATAACCTCCCCCCATCTCCACCTTGTCCATCTTAACCCCACTCCAATCCACTTCAACCCTAACTCCACCCCCATCCTCATAACCCCCACTTCATCCTTACCCTCATAACTCCTACTCCATTCCACCCCCACCCTCATAACCCCTACTCCATTCCACCCCCACCCTCATAACTCCAACTCCACTCCCACCCTCATACCTCCAACTCCACTCCAATCCTCATAACCATCACTTCATCCTTACCCTCATAACTCCTACTCCATTCCACCCCCACCCTCCATTCCACCCCACCCTCATAACTCCAACTCCACTCCCACCCTCATAACTCCAACTTCACTACCATCCTCATAACCATCACTTCATCCTTACATAACCATCACTTAACTCCAACCCCACTCCTCATAACCATCACTTCATCCTTACCCTCATAACCCCTACTCCATTCCACCCCACCCTCATAACTCCAACTCCACTCCCACCCTCATAACTCCAACTTCACTACCATCCTCATAACCATCACTTCATCCTTACCCTCATAAACCCTACTCCATTCCACCCCCACCCTCATAACTCCAACCCCACTCCCATCCTCATAACCATCACTTCATCCTTACCCTCATAAACCCTACTCCATTCCACCCCCACCCTCATAACTCCAACCCCACTCCCATCCTCATAACCATCACTTCATCCTTACCCTCATAACCCCTACTCCATTCCACCCCCACCCTCATAACTCCAACTCCACTCCCATCCTCATAACCATCACTTCATCCTTACCCTCATAACCCCTACTCCCAAAACACTTTCCAGCTAGAAAATATCCTTCAGTATACATACTGACCTTTTTTATCAGAACCAGTCTTCATCAGGAACCCTTGTGTGCGCACATCAGATCTGATCCTGGATTCCCTGGCCTGAGGAGAGAGACAAATATCAGTAATCTACATTCAGTTGGTATAAACTTCCAGCTTAGCTATCATTAATAATTTGATTTTAACAGAAATTTATCATTGAACATTTATCTAGATAATTTATGTCATGAATTACTTTGATGCTTTAGAGAAAATAAAATTTTAAACTATAATATAAGAGATTCTATTATCAATCATACCAGAGGGAGATATGGTTTTCAGTCAGCAAAAATCATGATTATAAACAGAATGTGACATTAACAGATGACGGGAGTTTTATACTTTTTCCGCCATCAGAATTGGAAGTGTTCTCATTTTGATATAGAGGGAGATTCTGTTCTATAAGATGACTCCTTAATAAAGACATTTAACAAAAATAGTCACAATTTTACTCTTACCTTATCTGGTTCATCATAGAGTCGGGCTGATGATACTGAAAAGTAGGACAACAAACACTTGTTATGAGTATGTCATTTCCTATAGAAGTGAACCATCAAATTCCTCATACCAATTAGTCAGTTTGATATATATCATATATAAAGTAACATCTGTTTATGACTGAAGGTATTGCTACTCGATATGTGTTCAATACAACATAATTTACTTCCAACTTTACAAACAGACAAGTGTTCTCAGAATACTTACAATCGCCACCATTCTGGTACAGCAGCTCCTGAAATCACAAGATAGAAGTTAGATCAACAACAGTAGAAAATGTGACCTAAACATTTAATGAGTAATGCATTTTTAACAAGATCATGTATGAGAAATAGAATCTATAACTCATATTTGTTCTTGGACATTTATCTGGCTGACATTCTGCATTAACTCAATCTTGACTCTGCCTTGAATGAAATTTTGTTACAGAATGTCACATAACAAATTCTATCAATCAAGGAAGTTTACCAATAGTGCTGCTGGACAGTGGTCAGTACAAAACAGAATGTCTACTTACCATCTGTAGTCTCTGGCCAGCTGCCTTAGCTATGCTGAAGGCTACAAAATAATGAAATAATAATGAATAGTGAGTTTATGAAGTGAAATAATCTCAGGATCTCAAAATATTAATAAGTGATCATATTATAATCATATCCAATCAAAATACAGTAAGATTCAACAACCATCCCTATTGACTAACCAGGCCTATTATTGGCTTTGTTAAGTAATGACAAGATAAACAATGAGTTCATGCAGTGATAAAATGATCTCAAAACATCATTGAATGACCACAATCTATTCATTATCCAATCAAATTTTAACTAGATATAACTTACACCCCTATCAACTGACCAGTGTCATTGCTTTCTTAAGAGGTGTATTCATGACTTGTGAAATACAACTAAGTTCCTGCCTGCAAAATCTGTGATAAAGAATCTGAAACCAAATTCTGCCTGCAGAGCATCTTTTAATATTCTAACTGCAGGCGCTAGGCATGGCTCGCCAACTTTGGTCTTACCATTTTTGTGAAAATTTCAATTAAAATTTTTAAAGTTTAATGGCCATAACTCTGGAAAAACCACATAAATTGTTGATACCGAAATCAGACAGTGACCTACATATTATCAATCACTGTAAATAAGACACACAATCGAATATAAACTTAGATACAGCAGAGTCTTATAATGAATAACACCACAACATACAGTATTTTCATCCTACTAGAACTTGTCAGTGACACTAAGGGCCTGAATTTTGAAGGTGGTCTGTAAAGTCAGGTGGTCTGAATAGACAGGTAATTTGTACGTGAATGTGTCTGTATAGTCAGGTGGTCTAAATAGACAGGTAGTTTGTATATACACTTGGTTTGAATAGAAGTACTTCATTTTATCGCTATACAAATTCCTATACTTTATGAAAATTTTCATTTAACTCATTATCTACTTTTAGAATTCCTGGAAGTAGCTATAGTGTTTGTTACAAAAACATTCGGGTTTCTTACATGTAAAGAAATTATGTCTACTTCACAAAATAAACAATTATAAAATCTATAAATCTATGGTGTGTCAACATTCTGATGACCTGATATAACACTACCCCATGATATACTGAACACATTACTGTAAATTTGGACAGGTTTCAACCAACCTACTCAACTGAGTCATTTCTGCTTTTCAGAGTAAACAAGAACAGGTATACAATTAAAAAACATGTTGACCTTTCTGTTACACATCCCTACTGACCCACTTAAAACGTTTAAAATTCATACTGAATTAAATGTCAAGTTGTTGGATTCAGCAATTCAACTGAAGCATATCACAGGGTCGAAACTTATATAACAGAGCTGAAAATATATTTACTGAAGTCATGTCATTTTACAAGAATTTCATTCAGAACATTTTTTAATCATATCTCTCATACTTAAGGATGAATATTGAAGACAGACAAGAACAGCAAATCAATGATTACAAGTTTTCTCCTGACAATACACTGGATAACAACAAAGATGACAACAACTCATCCCTGTAACATGTTTGTCACTTTTCATGTGACCTTACCACACAACATCTCAAGAATTCAACTTAAGACAAACTATCTCTTCAAAACACAGAAAAAAAATAAAAATATGAATTTTCAATATTACAATGAATTGACTAATTGCTGAATCAAATAAAGAAAACTGTTTAACCCACTCATAAATTATAATAATGTAGCCAAGTTCTCCAATCCCTGGCTTGTAAAACGTAATGAAAGATTCGATTATATATTTAAAATGTCTGATACACATCCACACAGCATAGTGATACAATAACAACTGTACAAACCTTTTGATATTCGTTGAGCAGTTTTCATTCTCCTTTATAACTTGTTTGCCTTAAATGATCAGTTAATTTCCGGTGAGAACACAGAATGAGACAACAATCTCCTACATACATCCAAAGGAAATCTCACACCTGAATATTATTTACACTCAGTGTAAAATAGTAAGACATGTAGACTAATTATCTTCCTTGGGACTTATCAACATCCTTACTCAAATCAGAAATAATTTTATCTATCTGACTAGAGAGAATTTACTTCCTATCAATATATCGTCACTATATCAAGGTCAATCACCATTGCTTCCTTCCTTCCTCCCAGTAGTGTATCGTCCTTCAGAGAGTGTTAAACATATGACACAAATCACCTTAAGTAGTTGAATATACTTCCCAAAATTCAAAAATGACCATAAGTTTATCAAAAAGATTTTCTAATCCTCCATCACAGACAATCTGTCCAATGAAAAAATAGCATAAATGATTTTCTTGAACAAAATATTCAAAGTTCATGAAAATGTGATAAAAACTGTGTTTTCAGCCATTAATAAATATCCTGGTTCCCATTATAATTGCTGTATGAGATTATCTGTGAAGACTTGTTGGGGTGTCTCAGAACACTGTTTTCCCTTCTCCTAGATAGGTATCCTGTTTTCTGGTTCGTCAGTCCATGCATGGATCTCCATATACAGGTGCATAAGAACAGGTAACATCGACCCAATACACTATAACGATACCCTACTGATTTAACGAGTTCCAGAAAGCTTGGTCAGACAACAATAAACACAGGTATATAGGTATGAGTTTATGAATGAACCTTCATGACAAAATGTGATACAAGATACACCTGACTACACCTGTTAAGGGCCACACAATACTGATACAGCCCTATCTGGTTATCATCTGCCGTCACACTGTCCCAGCCCATATGTCCTGCCTAGCAAAACCACACTGAGCAGCTTTATCCAAAACATCCACTCAGGTAGTGGGCATGACCAATCAGACTGTCCCTTAGCCAGTAGGCAACACCAGACATTGTTCTGGACAGTGTCACACCAGGGCTAACTTTAATGATATCATTAGCAGTGTAGGGGTAGGTGAAAATAATATCTTTGGATAGGTGTTTGGCTGGTATGACAATATGGTCTTTGGGGGAAGAGTGTTTGGTTGGTATGACAATCTGGTCTGTCGCTGGGTGTATGACTTTTATGACAATATGGTCTTTGGAGGAAGGGTGTTTGGATGGTATGACAATATGGTCTGTTGAGGAAGGGTGTTTGGCTGGTATGACAATATGGTCTGTGGCAGGGTGTATGGGTGTATGGCTTGTATGACAATATGGTCTGTTGAGGAAGGGTGTTTGGATGGTATGACAATATGGTCTGTTGAGGAAGGGTGTTGGGATGGTATGACAATATGGTCTGTGGCAGGGTGTATGGGTGTATGGCTTGTATAACAATATGGTCTGTTGAGGAAGGGTGTTTGGATGGTATGACAATATGGTCTGTTGAGGAAGGGTGTTTGGCTGGTATGACAATATGGTCTGTGGCAGGGTGTATGGGTGTATGGCTTGTATGACAATATGGTCTGTTGAGGAAGGGTGTTTGGATGGTATGACAATATGGTCTGTTGAGGAAGGGTGTTTGGCTGGTATGACAATATGGTCTGTGGCAGGGTGTATGGGTGTATGGCTTGTATGACGATATGATCTGTTGAGGAAGGGTGTTTGGCTGGTATGACAATATGGTCTGTGGCAGGGTGTATGGGTGTATGGCTTGTATGACAATATGGTCTGTTGAGGAAGGGTGTTTGGATGGTATGACAATATGGTCTGTTGAGGAAGGGTGTTTGGATGGTATGACAATATGGTCTGTGGCAGGGTGTATGGGTGTATGGCTTGTATGACGATATGATCTGTTGAGGAAGGGTGTTTGGCTGGTATGACAATATGGTCTGTGGCAGGGTGTATGGGTGTATGGCTTGTATGACAATATGGTCTGTTGAGGAAGGGTGTTTGGCTGGTATGACAATATGGTCTGTGGCAGGGTGTATGGGTGTATGGCTTGTATAACAATATGGTCTGTTGAGGAAAGGTGTTTGGATGGTATGACAATATGGTCTGTTGAGGAAGGGTGTTTGGATGGTATGACAATATGGTCTGTGGCAGGGTGTATGGGTGTATGGCTTGTAATATGGTCTGTTGAGGAAGGGTGTTTGGATGGTATGACAATGAGGTCTGTGGCAGGGTGTATGGGTGTATGGCTTGTATAACAATATGGTCTGTTGAGGAAAGGTGTTTGGATGGTATGACAATATGGTCTGTTGAGGAAGGGTGTTGGAATGGTATGACAATATGGTCTGTGGCAGGGTGTATGGATATATGGCTTGTATAACAATATGGTCTGTTGAGGAAGGGTGTATGGCTTGTATGACAATATGGTCTGTTGAGGAAGGTTGTTTGGATGGTATGACAATGAGGTCTGTGGCAGGGTGTATGGGTGTATGGCTTGTATAACAATATGGTCTGTTGAGGAAGGGTGTTCGGCTGGTATCAGCATTGCTGTATTTGCTACAGATACTGTGACATTTTTAAGATCTGATATGTTTTCAGAATTTCTATCAATTACTGAAGAAAACCATTTAAGGAGGGATTATTTGTACTGTGTAATTGTTTATTCATAAGTTTGGTATATTTTACAATGAGCACAACTTTACTGAATGGCATGACTAAAATTTTCAGCATTTTTTGACATTCTAGAAGTCCCTCCCTTGTCCCTCCATGTTACCAAAGAAAGGTTTTTTTTAAGTACATACATGTATTTTAAGTTCTTACCAACTAATTATTTTCAAGACATTACCACAGTTTTCATTTTCTCACAAGCTTAACCATTCTTTTTTTCAATTTTTCCATGACCTTAATTATTGTACAAACAAGTCACAATATTGTGTGAAAGTATTTTTGGAAGGCAGCATACAAGTAGGTACTGTTTTATTTTGTATTCATAGCCTACAACTCATGTAAACAAACAGACTGAACATTTTCTCCATGGCTGTTGATGCATTTTGTGCTGAATATGTAAAATGAGGCCAGCAGAAATAAAACTTGTGAAAACATCTACGTAAACTAGATAAATGGGAGAGATGGGAGTTAACAGTCGGTATAAACTGTTGTTGTAGGGACCTCTACATAAGGGGTAGACAAGAGTTCATATGATCTTAGCATGTCAGAGGAACATTAGGTAC